TAGTGACCAAACTCAGAAAAAAAAGACACCAGACACAACAGCTAAATTTCAAACAGCAGCAAAAGTTAGAAGAATATCCAGAAACACCTGCCAAGAACAGGTCTTCCTTGTGCTAGTGACCACAATACAAGAAGGGAACCATTATCTAACCCCAAGAGCCAAACCTGCAAACTGAGCACTGGCAATGCAGGACTTGTATCACTCTTCACATACTTGTCCTCACAGACCCCACGGACCTAGGAGGGGTCTTCCACTTTTGTTAGATAAAGGCATCACCATCCACTGTGAAGGTGATAAACAGAAGACTCCGCACAATAGTGGAGATATTGATTGGGATTGCATAAAACGCTTAATGCTCTGCAGGTTTTTTTCTGTTTGCTGCAGAAAAAATGACATTCTGATAACGTATTGTAAAAGCATCAGATAAAATAAGTATTATCCTAGACCTTTACAGTTGTAAGTGTAAAGAACAACAGACAACAACGTTAATGCACCTTGGAAATTTTTTAAAAGCATTTAATCTTGTTATATGCTGCAGAGTGCACGGACTGTTTTAATATCCTTGAGAAACTAGAACTTTCATTACCTCAAGTACAAATCCCAGTCAACTCTTGGTAACTATGGCCTGAGATCTTGTTAAGAATTTGTTAACTAGTATTAGATTACAGTAAGGCAGCTTAAACACGATTTTGTCTTAGAGTATACAGTTGTGGGCTTAGATTCTGCTCCTCCTAGATATTTAAGTGTCAACCTCCAACTGATTTCAATGGAATACAGGTGTACATAGCAGAATTTGGGCTACACGCCTCCACTACTAAAGTTGAGGAAAATCCTTCTCTTGACTTTAAGGTTTGGCCCTACATTCTCAGATCACAATCGGTATCCAGGCTTTTTGAGACTACAGCATAATTTGGAGAAACGATTAAAGTGTGGTAAAACCCCATTAATCTGACTTCAAGATGACAACCTACTGCCTTGTAAGCAAGTGTCTTACAAAGATACATTACAATAAAACACAGAAAGGAATGGCAGCAAGACACTGAGATACTGTCAACTGTCTTTAAAGCTCAGCTTGGACGGTGTATTTTATTATACTGGGTTGTATACTATTTTTTAACTTGGGGTCAGATTCTAATGTCAATTTTTTCTATGCTAGGTGAGGAAAAGAGATAGAATCACCTGGATATGATTTTCAAACAAAACAATACAAAGTTCAGAAGAGGAATGGAGACTTCCCGAAAATGTGGAAGATGTACTCTCAGAAAAGACGACTTTTAAAAGTTTCTCAGCCGGGAGCTTTCATTTAATTCTCTTGCCTAGTTTCTAAGTCAATGATCTTCCTGGGGTTATACATGCACTTATGTGCTCTGCTAGATAAGAGCGCAGAGGTTACATGGTGAACCAAGACATTCCTTAGTCTGTTTACCACTAAAATGCATGAGAGATGCTGCTTTTAAAAAAAAACAAAAAAAACCAAAACAAACAAAAAAACCCCACCACTCAAACAAACAACCACACACAACACCATGTTTTAGCACAATGTTGCTTACAGCCCCGTTAACAAGACTGACAGATTTGCACTGATGCCCAATGAAAGCTTCAGGTGCACCTAACATAGCTGGGAGTTAGAACGTCCATTCCACAATTAGGTTAGCCTGCCTTAAGACACAGTGCAAGTTCTACAAATCAAATCCGTAACGCAGTTTAGTATATCAATCCGAACAAGGAGAACTTTTGCTTCGTTTTAATTTTCCTCTATTTTTCTTATATAAAAAGAAAGGAAAATAAACTGGATTGGGGAAGTCAGAACGTTGAGAACTTCTCACTCTTTCCCAGCATCTAAAACTTCCTTTCTAGCTGCCAGGATTAACTTGAGAAAAGTAGACCAACTATTAATTATACAACCCACGCAGAATCAAGGGCTCAGAACTTTTATTGCTGTACTTAGTGTAATTGAGATCCTAGTCAACAATTATTGCCCATATCCAGAACTGAAATGTAAAGCACAGCTAATGCAGCTCCCTAGAATGTACCTGTGGCATAAAGTTAGAACTGTTTAGCCATTCGTGTCAGCCATTATGACCTGAATGTGCTGAATGCCTGTGTAGACTGCAAACATTAATCTACATTATAAACTCGGGGGGGTGGGGGCGAGCAAAACAGTCAAATGAGGTGGTCATTGCAAAGATCATGTAGCATCCTACACACTGAACTGGCTTCCTGATGCAGTGACAGGTGCTGCATTAATTTATTTTATGCAAACCTGGTTACTACATTTTGGCTAACAGTGCTGGGGAAGAAACCGATACCAGGCTGGAGGACAGGGAAGGCCGCTGTGCTGATAAAACACTGGGAGGATCTGGGATCAGATTCTACCATGCATTTAGTAGTGTCAGGCAAATGTACTTTAAAATCCACTTTGTTTGGAGATGCCAAGCTTCTGACAAACCCATGTGTGTAACAATACTTCCTCTGTCAATGCTGGCTACATAGATTGTAAATAGCAGAGGGACAGGTACCTATATCTGTGCTTAATAACAAGAACTACTCATTTGTACAACTCATGTAACAGCAACATGATGAGGAACTGGTGAAGCTGAAGAAAAGAAAGTTAACACTAATGTTTTGCATGTCTTACTCAGGCTTGCTCTTAGAACTAATCTCTCTGTAGCTCAGAAGTCTCCATGTAATGTAGGGTCATAATACTTTCCATAGTTGTAAGGCTACTGGAATTCCTCCTTCACTGCAAAGAAGTTAGACGTTGGAGATCCATTAACTGGAAGCTGCTATAAAACAGGCAAATACTGTAACCCAGTGAAAATCCCAAGCATTCAGAAAAAGTAAGCACCAGATCATGAGATTAGAAAAGAAATACAATTTTTATTTCCTCTCTGAGCCTTTAAGGTGCATGTCTGTTATGTCTTCAAGCTTTTGCCTGCAACAAGGTCAAACTGTAGAAGAATGACAGACAAATGAGATTCCTCTCTCTCAAATGAGAGATCTCAGTCATCCAAAGTCTTTCATAAAAGCACCAATTATCAAAAGGGTCATGATAAAAATAATTTGATCTAGAAATGCTGTTTATCTGTGAGAGCTACCTCCCTCTCTTGTTACGCATGCCGGATGAAATTGATGGTTCACTTCGGTGAACACCAAAACCACCGCTGACTTCCACAAGGCAAGGTTTGACACTCTGTTCCTTGCATATAAAGAGGTCGTCGATATATCAGAAATGGGAAATGATGAAATGTGTGAGGAAATGCAAACAAGGCTGCTAGACGCCAGCAAGAACTGCACCACATTTACCCCTTAATTCTTCTACTAGAAAGCTATTGTCCGTCAGATAACACAAGTATTCTTTATCTGTAACTGACCCTGCAGCTTGAGGAAAAAGCCTTGAATGCCATGAGCATATTAGGAAAGCTTTTGCACATGGAATAATCACTGAAGAAAAACAATAGAAGCCCTTTTCACAGAACCTTTTTTAAAGCAAGGCTGGATAAAAACAGACAACAGGGAACAATTCTACCTTGGCAGCTTCAGCAGGTGCCCACAGCTATGTCACAGTGAATTAAACGAAATGAAATCAAACAACAACAACAAAGATAATCCAGATAAGGATCAAGGCAACCTTGGAATGCCACTATTCCAAAAGGACACTTGCAGGAAGTGTAAGAGACTAATAAGAAGGAAATGGAACTACCAGACTTCCTTTATGAAATATAGGAGTTGAGATGGTTTCGAATCATAGTATGTAATGCCAGGTGACTGCTGGATCACTTAATCTCCCTGCCTGTATACCCCAGGTCATTATGCCTCATGCAGTTACTCCCAGGCTGAGTAACTGTTGGGTGCCATCAGGTCACCACAGAGAGATACCAATGGGTAATATTTGTTTAGATCTTCCCAGGTGGTCATAGCCAGCTATTCCTGTCTCTGCTGCTTTGACCACTGCAGACAGGTTCTCTGCAGCAATCTGTCCAGCAGTCTGTCCACATTGTACAGAAACTCTTCTGACAGTATAAAAACAGAACACCCTTACAGTATTTTCAGTCCTCCCTGTTCACAAAAGCATCATGCTCAACCACAAACACTATGGAAAGATCATAAGTGGTAAAGCTCCTACCAAAATGTAAGATCTGATCAACAAAAAAGGTCAAAACTCTTCCTTTCTAACAATCACAGGCAGGTAGGAGAGAGACCTCAGTGACTGCAAAGGATGACAAACAGCAACAAACTGCTCAGTGAGGGATAAATCCTCAGTAGTGCAGCTATGGCTCCAGGATAACCGCTTTAAAATTAATTCTTCAAACATACCCTATTTTCCACCTTTGTGAAAGCAGCTCTCAGATTCTGGCCTGGTTAGAGAGCCAAATTTAAGTTTGGCATCAAAATACCAGAAAGACTTACCTCCAAATCACAGTGGCTAATGGCCATTTAAAATTCCACCTAAATCAGCACTTAAGACTGTTGTACACCAGATTTCAAGGACAGCATAGCAGAGATTGCCTGAAGATTAGAATTAAAAGGAGATTTGTGTCCTTACTTCTGAACTATGCTTGGAACTCCCTGGCTTCACTTTTTTCAATCAAATTACCTTGAAAAATAATCTAGCAATATTAGAAAATAATGGTTCAGACACTGAAGACGCTCAGAATCTCCAGTATGCAATCTGCAAAAGATAGTCTTAACTCTTATCCCAACTATTTTGCTAGAAATGTTGAAGGCAACAGAACCCAGCCTTTTGTTGGAATAAACGCTGCATCAACCACACAGTAAAAAGAAACTCAACCAATAAGTCTTTTCAGGAGGAAAAAGAGCACATCTTGATTTGCTACTATTTCCAGGTCAGTATTATTTGCTCCTCGTATCCCATAGAAGTATTTACTAAAGCTAGTAGCGTCACCAATTTTATCACAGGTACTCGTTTATCTGAAAACATACACAGTGTCATTTATGGTACTCTGTTTCAAGTGCTTTGGTCATATAACCAGAAATTGCAAGCAACTGAGGGAACACTTTCTTCATTACTGTGAATCTGGGTGACCAGCACAGTGACCAAGGCTTGTTCTTTAGCCATTTGAGCACAGCCACATCAGAGCCTTACACACAAAATCATGTTTTCACTGCATGCATTTGGTGTGTGTAGCTCTAGCTGCATCTCTCGTGATTCTCAGTACTGAAATTCCTTCTCGGTCAGCTATGCTAACTTGGGAAGTTGTCCAGCCTTCTGGGGAAAATTGTTGGGAGGGCACTGAAGAACTATCAGTTCTTAAGTGATCTTCCCTGAACCCTCAAAGCAAAGTGGGAAGGTTCGATCCAAACAAAAGCTCATTCTGTGCTTTAATGCAGACCGATACCTAAAGCTGGATATTGCCATAATCTCAATGCAAGACTTTTCACAGAGCGTGAAGTACACACTACAATGTAGGCAGTGGTGATAAGCAGGTGAGATGGTGTACGGAACCACACCCCCTCCTCCCTTCCATGTCGCTCAGCTCACTTCTGTTCCTTACAATACAAACAAGTGTGGATGGCTCCATGGAACAAAAAGGAACAGATCTGAAAGTTGTGTGTATGCTGCTTACCTTTGTTACGTGGGGGAAAAGGCAGCAGTTGCCACGACTATGTTGGAACAATGCATCAAGCAGCAGCTTTACCTTTTCGCTTGTCCAGCTGTGGGAAGCCCTATGCCCCCATTCTTGAGTCAGTAGGAATGAAAAGGGCTGGAATGCAATACAGACTCTCTGCTCATTCCCACCAATTTAACTTTGAGTGAATTTAATTTGCAAGCTTTTATTTTCTATCCCCAAAGCCTGGATAGACCACAGACCAGCTTTTCGTGCTCCAACAGTTTTAAAGACCCCTTAAGACATGGCTTAATCAAGATTACATGAAATAGGCTGTCATCTGTGAAAGCTAAGTCTCAAGTATTGCACAGTTTTATGTGACTGAATCACGATGTACTGCCTGGCTGCCACCTCCTGGTGTCAAGGATTGTACAGGAGCTCTGAACTCTTTCCATAGAGCTGGACACACAGAAAAAGTATTACATAAAATGTCTCAGTGTCAGATAAGCTTCCCACTAACTGGGGTTTCCGAGTTACAAGGCTCCACTACGCTGCAAAAAGAGTTTTATCACTGGGAGGAATGTATGTGTTTGTGCTAGTTTAGGTCATGGAGACCATGACAGCTTGCGTGAGGCCCACCTCTCGGGGACAAGCTGCAGCCATGCAGGATAGTGGTTGTGCAGCAAAACTGTCTCGCTGCAGGATGCTAAGTCACTATCTTAGGAAAACATGTTACTGCCCTGCTATATGCTGAGCTGTTCTCCTTTGTGAGCTTGCCAACTGGCAAAACAGCATTGCTGGCACACAGATCCCCCTGAATCGAGTCCAGAAAGGATACACAGATACACACATATGTATATTGATAGCTGAGACTGCATCAGCTTCTCTTCTATTTCTAACCACACTGAACTGACAGGTTGCTACCACTTTAACCGAGATCCCAGTTTGACCAAGCAGTGCCATAATCAGGAATATCTCTAGGTGGTATCAGGGCCAAGACCGTTTCTCAGAGCACCTCCCAAAAACCCATTGACCCTGCACTGCAAAAGAGGAGCCCCGTGTCCCTAAACGCTCCCCCGTGCCGGCACAGAGCCTAGCAACACCTGTGAAGCATCTGCTCATGCACCCTCCCGGCCCTCCCTCCCACCGCCTCCCTGGCCGCGGACAGCGCTTACTTGGCTCCGGCCAGCGACCGCTAGCTTGGCACGGCTGGAGAACCTTCCGCCGGACGAAACCTGCCCCGGAGACCCGGGCCCCGCGGCCGGGGGGCTCCCCGCCGCCCCGTCCG